AATGATAGTTTGCATTTAAGAATTGCAAACAATGTAGGAATTCTTTTAAAATGATATATATATGCCCGACTATCTTTCCGTTTCTATATAATAGATATTTGCTTTAGGTCCTATGTTTTTTAGGACTGATGTCTTTTACATTTGAATTTTTATCTGCTTGTAGAAGAATGCGAAGATCATTATGATCATCATCATCATTGTCATCATTCTTATTGTTATTGTATTATATGAGTATAAGATAGAACTTAATTAGAGCAACAAGGTCAGTGAGGAGTTTATATTGTCAACTCCAACATCTTCAAAATTGAGACACATTATTGTTTGTATTCAAAATTGATCCCAAAAATTAGAGGAAAATGTTTGTTGTGTTATCAATATAAAAACTTTAAACCTCAAAAAAGCAGCCACAAAAATGGAGCAGTAAGTTTAGCCAGAAAATTGGCTCCCTGCTATCTTGGTCGAGAGAAAGAAAAGTATGGTGCACAAAGAGCTAAGGAACTCCAAAGGAATGTTTGGTAGGATATATTAGGAAAAAAAAACGTGTATTAGTTTTGGTAGTATCAATTTCTTGTTTGGTAATGTTTTCACCGATCTTATGTTATACTAACTAATTCTTGTAATAGTTATATAGCTTATACAGTATTATTCTTATACATATCAAATCATAGTACTAGCAATATTGTGATTTTAATACATGGACAAACATGTATGAAAGCAAAATTACTATTTTAAATCCGTTTTCAAATACTTCTTCAAATCGTCGGAGGGTATTTTGTAAATAAATATTTTTTTAAAAAAAATTATACGATGCATGTTATTTTTAATACATAAAACCAAGCACTAGATAAAAAGTAATTTGAATAAAATTATTTCCAACATAACTAATCTCAGCATTGCTAATTATAATATTAATAATACATCATATTCAGTGCTATTCTAATACATCCTACCAAACGATCCCTAAGTCATTAAATCTATTCTCGCCGGTGATGTATTATTAGTTCTTCGATGCCATTTTCTATTCCACCCACAGCGGTTTATGCATTTCATGGGTCAAATGAAATTCTCATTTAATGGGACGATTGGACATAAGAATTGTAAAATTTCAAAAAAAAAAAAAAAGTGAAAATAAATTCAAATGAAAATGGTATTTGAAAATTACAGTTGTGTTTGGACATGAATATAATTTTGGATTGTTTTTGAAGGTTTGCGAGTTATCTGAGTGAAAATTTTAAAAAACAGCTTTTTGAAATTTTTCAAATTTTTGAAAAATTCCAAAATATATCTTTAAGTGAAAATTGAAAATTTTACGAACAAACGTTGATTTAAAAAAAAATAGAAATTTTTTCCAAAAAAAAGGAAAAAAATTCATATGGCCAAACAGGCTCTTAACTTGTCAGATATAGAAAAGAAGGAATTCATATGATACTAATTGATCTAATAAAAGTATGGTCAAGGATACAAAGACGAATGTTTCTCTTTTGTCAAACATAGAGGAATGTGTAAAAAAGTTGGAAACATATCTGCCAAATATCTACTAGGAGTAATATACAATTATAGGGGACCACACCTAAGACCACCAAATAAAAAAGGAAAGTGAGGGACCATATCTTACGTGCGAAGAATCGACAAAATTCTAGACAATTGTAGAACATGGACAATATAAGGAACAGAAGCTCCTAGAAATATGTCACCTTCTGCTTCCATTCCCATCTAGAAGCTTCTATGTTTACACTATATAATCCTGCAACATTCTCCGCAATCCAAAGCGAAAAACCAACTGAAATACACCAAACCCAAAATCTCATAATATCTACAAATAGAACTCACTCAGCTAACCTAAGAGGAGGAGGATGGATTTCAGGCTAATGGGTATCGACACTCCACTGTTCCACACTATCCACCACCTCATGGACACAGCCGGTGACGATTCCGACAAGTCCGTCAACGCCCCATCGAGGAACTATGTACGTGACGCTAAGGCCATGGCTGCAACACCAGCCGACGTGAAAGAGTATCCCAATTCCTACGTTTTCGTTGTGGACATGCCAGGGTTGAAGTCTGGAGATATTAATGTGCAAGTGGAAGACGACAATGTGCTGCTGATAAGTGGAGAAAGAAAGAGGGAAGAAGAGAAAGAAGGGGCTAAGTATATCAGAATGGAGAGAAGGGTTGGAAAATTCATGAGGAAGTTTACGCTGTTGGAAAATGCGAATACTGATGCGATCTCTGCTGTTTGTCAAGATGGAGTTTTGACTGTGACTGTCCAGAAGTTGCCTCCTCCTGAGCCTAAGAAACCCAAAACTATCGAGGTTAAAATTGCATAAGATTTTGTTACTCTGTTTTGTGATTATAAAAATGCTCTGTTTTGATGCTTGGTGGTATGACAGTAATAAAGATGGTAGAGATCTAAGAGTGGTTTTTCTTTCCCTTTGTCTTCTTTATATTTTCTATTTCTATGTTTTATGGAATATGATGAAACTAAATGTGTAGGTGTTCTATCTCTTGTTTAAAATGCAAGTGAAATGCTACTAGTGTCCAGTTTTTTTTTTTCTTCGATTGCCATCAATATATAGAGTGCAATTTCTTACAATATATAGAAGTGCAAAACTTTTCTGTATCTGAATTCAGGCTTTTATCGAACGTGTGAAAGATTTTCTTAAAGATTTGGCAAAAGTAATTGGAACTCCGATTCGAAAAAGTAAAATCTTGAATTGTCCCGAGAGCACACCCTATGAATATTACAGATTTAACAAGATAGAAGAAATATAGGCGATAAAAGCATGGATCTTCAAAGTACGTACGTCAAGGAGCCCGGCGGTATACTCTGACTATCTTTTCAATTAGCGAATAATGGAACCTATAAATAATTATAAAGAGGAGTTAGATGGGATTTAGTATTGCTTATTAAACCTTGGGGACTAGATCGCTACCACACTAGTCCAAGTTCTTGTAGCTGAATATATAGGCAATAAATTAAGCTCCTACTGTAGGTTCTGAAGGTTCAATCGCATTATTTATGTCTTTCTTTTTGTTCTAATGCGTAGATTCATGATAAAACGGCGTAGATTATTAGCACTACTATTCAAACTATTATTTTTATTTTAATACATAGATTTATAATTAAACAGACTATTCGCATGTAACAATGATTACACTCGACAAAAGTACAAACAACAATCGTCTAGATTAAATGAGAGAATGTAGAAGGTCAGTCGCGACCCTGACATCTAACTCAACCTGCTAGATAAGTCAACTAACATGAAAAATACAATACGATTGAAATAATAAGAAATTAGAAAATAGCTAACTGAATCTTTACAAGTTTATCAAGACCTGGTAATACGAATCACGAGCTTCTATGATTTGGAATTTCAAAACTGATACAAATAAATACACATTATGTTTGAAGGTTACATAAACAGATTAACAATAATCTAAACTACCAAAGACAAGTGGCAGTTATATCCAGACGCACGAACATCTTCCGAATCAGCACCCGACGTCACCAGCAGCTCCGCTCCAAAATCTTGCAGTATCAATATAACCGACCACATGTACTGGTAAGTATTTTGTCTAACTTTGTCGAAGTAGTGACGAGGTTTTTAGTTAAAAGATGCTTATTGCTATAACATGTACATTTGATTAACAGTAAAAGCAGTTTGAAGCATAAAAGATAAAAATATCATAAACAACTCGGTGAGNTCATAAACAACTCGGCGAATCAGTCAATAACTACTAACAGGAACCATAGAAGAATAGTTACGGTATTTCCTGGTATAAGATGTATGCCCAAAATGTCAAATCACATGCCATAGTAACATCTTTCGTGACTTTTGATCACACCCAACTATGCCTTATAAAAAGGACACGCAGTCGTTATAAATATAATCCGAGTATTTAGCCCAGAGTCGAATCCACAAGGAATTAACTTACCAATTACTTTTGTCGGACTCACTGAATTCTTCGTAATCAACTTTCAGATATTTTGAATAACAATTGGTGATATTTAGTAGAAATTTTTATTTAGCTTCTAGTATGAAATCTCTTCCTGTTATGTTTCACATAGACTTGCCTAATCGTTTCTATCAATTATGAGCACTCTTACTACCGTAAATCTCTCCCGAGTAATTACGACAATTTACTAGAT